CTACTAATGCACCTGGGAAAGCAGCACATGACGCTTCAATCGTATAGGTCACTTTTCACCCACAATGGAGATCCTGATGGAATTTCAGGCTCCTGGTTTCAGCCCCAGCTTTTGTGGACATTTGGGCAGTGAACCAGCAAATAAGATACTGCTCTCTCTGTTTATCTCTCTCCTTCTCGCCCTCTCTCTGTCACTCTGCCTCTCAAAAAAATAAATATTAAACAATGAAAGAGAGACAAAAGAATTTGTAAACATAGCCTAAAATCATTTAGCAAAGGAAAATCATATATTTGTATATTTAGTATTATTACTATTACATCAGTTAGTATTTTATATATAATATGCTTATATTGTATATAGGCAAATGTATAAATATATACATTTAGTAAGGGCAAACTATAGTTTTTGAAGTCCTGAAAATATTTCTGATACACTTTATTCAAAGCAGTCATAAGAATGATGATTATGGGGCCTGGTGTGGTAGTCATTGAGGTCCTTGCCATGCACGCGTCGGGATCCCATATAGGTGCTAGTTCTGATCCTTGCAGCCCCACTTCCCATCCAGCTCCCTGCTTGTGACCTGGAAAAGCAGTGGAGGACAGTCCAAAGCCTTGGGACCCTGTACCCGCGTGGGAGACCCAGAGGAGCTCCTGGGTCCTGGCTTCGGACTGGCTCAGCTCCAGCCATTGCGGCCGCTTGGGGAGTGAACCACCACACAGAGGATCTTCCTCCCTGTCTCTCCTTCTCTCTGTATATCCGCCTTTACAATAAAAAAAAAAAAAAAAAGAATGATGATTATGACAGCAAGAGCTAACTCACATATTACCTGATGTACTAATCACTGCTCTAAACACTCAGTTACTTATTTAAAAACTCCCAACAATCCTAGAATGAAACTAGTAACCAGTGCTCTCACCTTGTTTCACAAATGAGGAAACTGGGATCACATAGGTAAGTGGCAAAATTAGCACTCAAACAGGACGTTTGGCTCACAAGTGAAGACACCTACATTCCATGCTGAGGAACCAAGCCTTGATTCTCAGCTGTAGCTCTCCATTTCAGCTCCCTTCTGCACACCCCAGGAGGCAGCAAGGTGGTTCAGGCATCTGAGTTCCTGCCACCCACTGTGAGACCTGGATTGAGTTCTTATGCCCTGGATTTAGCTCTGTCCCAGCCCCAGCCATATGGGGGAATGAGTCAGCAGATGGGAGCTCTTCTCCCAACAAATTAATTAAATTTCAAACTTGGCAGTTAATGTCAGAACCCACATTCAACCAATACAATACGGTGTCTCTTGCTGATAAGCTATTAGCCCATAAAAAAAAAAAAAAAAAAACAATTTTCAGCATGCATTCAGATGGCAGAAAAATGCTCTTAAAAGAGTCAGTACCATAGCCCATCAGGTTAAGCTGATGCCCGAGATGTTAGTATCCCACCTGAGTGCTGGTTTGAGTCCTGGCTATTCCACTTCCTGTCCAGCTCTCTGTTGATGCCCCTGGGAAGCAGTGAAAGATGGATCAAGCACCTGGACCCCTGCCACTCACATGGGAGATCCAAACAAAGTGCTAAGCTCCTAGCCTGACCCAGCCCCAACCACTGCAGCCATTTAGGGACTTAACCAATGGATAGAAGATCTCTCTCTCATCTTCTTTCTCCATAAAATCTTTCAAACACAAAATCTTTTCCAAAAACACTCTTAAGAACCTGTTCTCCGGCAGCAAGTCATCTGCAGGACAAAGTGCAGTGGTCAAAGAGCAACCTTTACAATCTAACTCCAACCTGTATTTCCAGCTTATCAACCTCTTGCAAGTTAAAGCCAAGCTAAGCTTGTCATGGTTCTTAGACCCAGAGCCAACTTTTTCAGGCCACTGTATTAAAGGCCTCTTGTTGACTTCTCAGACAACTCCTACATATCTTCCTTCTTTTTTCTTTGTCTTTACTGGAAAGGCAGAGTCACAGAGAGGAGAGACAGAGAGAGCCTCCAATTCATTGATTCATTTCCCAAATGGTCACAACAGAATGCAACTGGACCAATCTGAAATCAGGAGGGCTTCAAGCCTCCTCGAAGTCTCCCACATGGGTGCAGGGGTTCTAGGACCTGAGCCATCCTTCACTGTTTTCCCAGGCCTTCAGCAGGGAACTGGATCATAAGTAGAGCAGCCAGGACTCGAACTGGAATCCACAGGGATGCCAGTGGTGCATGTGGAAAATTAGCTTACCACGCCACAACACCACCCTTCCCCTACATATCTTTCAAAATACAGTCCATATAACCACACTTTCATTTTTCTGATGCTCCTATGTTCTCACAGAACTTTGTGTACACGCTTATTAAGGATTCTGTCACCTCACCCACCACATCTGAATGCTCAGCTTTTTCATCCCCTACAATTACACAGCACCTAATTCACAGCAGACACTAAATAACTGTTTAAAGTAGCAGGATCTAGGGCCCGGCACAATTGCGTAGCGGTTAAAGTCCTCTCCCAACAATCAAGGATGGCCCAAAATCTTGGGACTCTGCACCCACGTGGGAGACCCGGAAGAGCTCCCGGTTCTGAATTGGCTAAGTTCCAGCCATTGTGGTCACTTGGGGAGTGAACCATCGGACAGAAGACCTTCCTGTCTTTCCTTCTCTCTCTCTCTCTCTCCTCCTCTCTGTATATTGGCCTTTCCAATAACAGTAAATAAATCTTAAAGAAAGAAAGAAAGAAAAGTAGCAGTATCTAATGAATTACGATTTTTTTTAAACTCAGCAGAGCAAAATGACTAGTTACCTAAGAGGTCTGTATAGTCAACAGTTTCTTTTTTCTTATTTATTTATTTACTTACTTGAAAGGCAGATTTATAGAGAACGAAAAGCAGATTTTCCATCCTCTGGTTCACTCCCCAAATGGCCACAACAGATGGAGCTGACCAATCTGAAGCCAGGAGCCATAAGCTTCTTCCAGGTCTCCCACATGATTGCAGGGTCCCAAGGACTTGAGCCATTCTTGTTACTGTCCCAGATAAGCTAAGAGCTATCTCAGAAATGGAGCAGCCAGGACACAAAGCGGCGCTACAGGTGGAGGATTAGTTTGCTGAGCCACTGTACTGACCCCAAGAGTTCCTTTTTAAAATTTACTATATTCATTGTATTTGAAAGGCAGAGACAGACAATTGTTCCATCTGCTAGTTTACTTCCTAAGTGCTCATAACTGCCAGGGCTAGGAAAGGTTGAAACTAGGAGAAGGAACTCAATCTAGGCCTCCCATGAGGATAGCAGGGACCCAGGTACTCAAGCCATCATTGTCTCCCTAAGTGTACAACAGCAAAAACCCGGATCAAAAGCAGAGTAGCTGAGACTTGAACCAAGCACTCCAATAAGGAATATAGGTACCCCCCTCCAAACCGCAACTCAAGCACTGTAACTCATGCCTGCCCCTACAAGTTTTATTTTAACAAAGCCATTAAGCTTAATAATTAAAAGGGATAAAGTTCATTTTCCTGTAAACCAGAAGTTTAAAAAGTTTCTGGAGTCTGAATCTATTTAATCATTAGAAATTAAAACTGATATTCTAGACTAAAGCTGAGTAATAGGCTGCAGCAAAGATAATATGAATAATAATGTGAATAAATATTAAATACAAGATTAGGGTTGCCAGAATTTAAGTTATTGGAGCCAATGGAAGAGTAACTACAAGGCCATCACTTAGTAAGCTACTCCAGGACTCACCCAGGAACCTGACATCTTCAGAAATAACTGTTCCTCCTAGCCAAAGTCACTCCCTGAAACCAACTCAATCACTATAAAAACTCTAATGGAAATTGTTTTATTATTTGTTCTAAATGAGTTAATGTTTATTTCCAAATGAACAAAATAACCCTCATTATATCCACACAGTTAACTTATTCAAAAATAAGTTAATATGTAACAGTAATATGGACTCTAGAAGTCTGTGAAAACGGAAGAAAAAACACATAATAAAACTATTTAGGAGCCCAGAAGTTGGGAGGTGACACCATATACAACAAATTTTCAAATGCTGTCAAATCTACTGAACAGATCTAATTGAGTACTCCTTACACTTTTACACAAAATAGGCTACTCTGACACCAGTTCCCTGATTGGTTTGCATAGCATACCTCTTTAGCATATACTTTCAGCTCCTACTGGTTCACACAGCATGGCTCATTAGCATACGCCTTCCATTCCCTGACTGTTACTCTGTTCCCTAACTGGTTAAATCAATACTCACTTCTCAGAAAGGAGTGAACCAGAGAGCGACTGTTTATAAAAGAGACAGAACTTACAAGCTTCTTCAGCAACTCCTTTCTTGGAGTACTACTCCTGAGGACTCTTGTGCAGTCCTCACTCTCAACAAATCTCACATTCTTCCCTATCCTTGTCCTGTGGAAATTCTTTGGCATGACACAAGATCAAGATGGTCCTCATTATCCAACAACAGTAGTACCTGTCATTTTTAGTGTCTAACCAGTAAAACAGATTACATGGTGGTCCCTCAAATATCCACTAAATTTTTTCTACCTCTATCTATTTGAAAAGCTCCTTTTACCAAAAAAAAAAAATCATTTCATTTCTTTATAAAAAATTACCTAACCACAGGCTTGTTTTTCTCTTATTATCAGAGACTTAAAATGTACTTGATATGTTGTAACTTCTGACAAAATAGGACTTACTACTTCCAGCCTCAGCTTAATACCAACTTTCTTTCCTCCAAATGCTCAGTTCCCCATAAACCTTCATGACCCAAAAGCTCTCCAAACAACCCATTGACCCCAACCTACTCTAAGGATTATGTCACTGATTTTTAGAGATAAGCAAATCTACCAGATGGTTCAGTATTCTCTAAGGCAAGGTTTTATATACAACACACCTTCAAACCAAGCATCAACTTTCCATTGCTGTTAACACAATGATAAATTCAACTACTTTTTTGCATTACCAATTCAGGCAATCACAGACCTGAATTAATATTTGTGTAGTATTTCTCCATTACCTAGGTTGAGAATTCTCCTCATACATTCGTTCTTTCCCCTCCTTGAAGAGGCTTATGGTCTGCTTAGTTTTCTTCATCAAATTCTCCATGAATACCCTAAAATATTCATTTTCTCCAAGTGTCTCCATCTTCCCTTCATATCTTGACAAGATAGTACGTAGATGCTGGTAGGTATCTGGCAGCAGATCTAAGATATAGGGTGGGCTATTCTTTAGCGCCAGCTTGGGGTTCTGACACAACCGCACCACCTGCAACAAATGGAAAAGAGGGACTATTACTTGGAGGATCTTAAGAACAACTGCCCTTTTTGAAAGTTATAAAATACATGCTGTTTGGCAAAAACATGAAAAATGCATGAATATATAAAAAATAATCCATAAACCCATTTTCCATAGGCAATTACGGTACATTTTCAGTGGTCTCCCTAAAAGAAGTGATTCTTAAAATCCTGTAAGAAACTAATATAGACAACACACAACACACTAAACAACTGATAGAAAAGAATACATATAAATACCTAAAAAATACTAGATGAAATATTGCAAATTAATTCTTTTTCTTATTCTATTTGAAATGCAGGGAGACAAAGATCTACCATCTCTTGGGCCCGGCGCGGTGGCACAAGTGGTTAAAGGTCCTCGCCTTGCACGCCCGGGATCCCATATGGGCGCTGGTTCTAATCCCGGCAGCCCCGCTTCCCTTCCAGCTCCCTGCCTGTGGCCTGGGAAAGCAGTCGAGGACGGCCCAAAGCTTTGGGAACCTGCACCCGCGTGGGAGACCCGGAAGAGGCTCCTGGCTTCGGATTGGCATAGTATCGGCCCGTTGCGCTCACTTGGGGAGTGAATCATCGGATGGAAGATCTTCCTCTCTGTCTCTCCTCTCTGTATATCCTCCTTTCCAATAAAAAATAATAATAAAAATAAATCTTTAAAAAAAAAAAAAGATCTACCATCTCCCCAATTGCCCATAATAGTTAGGGCTGAAGTAGGCCAAAGCCAAGAACTAGGAACTCAATCCAGGTCTTTATTGTAAGTGGTAGAGATCAACATAGTTCACCCATCATCTGCTGCTGCTTCCCAAAGTGCACATTAACAGAATACTGCGGAAGCAGGGCCAGGACTCAAACTCAGACTCTCTAATAAGGAATGTAGTTAAATCTGTGCCCTGCAAATTACTTTTAAATACACTGCTTGGGGCTAGCATTGTGGGGTTAATGTGTTACCCAGCACCCGCAATGCTGGCACTCTACATGAGTGCCAGTTCATATCCCAGAGGCTCCACTTTCAATCCAGCTTTCTGATAATTGACCTGGGAATGCAGTAGAAGATGGCCCAAGTAGTTAGGGTCCTGCCACTCATGTGGGATGCCTGGCCCAGCCTTGGCCATTGCAGCTATTTGAGAAGAGAACCAATGAATGGAATATCTTTATCTCTATTTGTAAATAAATAAATCTTTAAAATAAATGCATGGCTGACTCTACAAGCAAAGCAGCTTGGATACGGATATCCTAAGAGAGACAAAGTTCTACAATTTAGGAGCTTGAATTTAAATAACCACTATGTCATACAGGCAAGCTCTGAATCCAGCAAAGCATGATTCTGAACAGAGATCTCCATTTAGTCCCACTTTGATGAAAGACACTGAATTTTGTATCTTTTCAGTTCTGAGGTCTTATGTTTGAGGTTTTAAAACAACATAAAGCTATATCTTAAAAATCCAATGAACAGGGTATGGCACACTAGCTCAATTGATTAATCCTCCTCTCACAAGCCCCCAGGATCCCATATGGACACCAGTTTGTGTCCCAGCTGCTCTACTTCCCATCCAGCTTTCTGCTTGTGGCCTGGGAAAGCAGTAGAGGAGAGCCCAAAGCCTTGGGACCCTGTACCCACGTGGGAGACCTGGAGGAAGCTCCTGGCTTCAGACGGCTAGGCTCTGGCTGTTACAGCCATTTGGGAAGTGAACTAGCAGATTAAAGATCTTGCTTTCATCTTCTCTGTGAAATCTGCCTTTCCAATAAAAATGAATCTTAAAAAAAAAAAAATCCAGTGAACAATCCAGGTGGTGAGTTTAGTTCATTTTACATTTATTAACTTGACTAATATATTTTATTCCTACCATTTTGTTCTTACTTTCCAATTACACAGATCTTTCTGAGTTTAGGAAAGACACAAACTAGTAGAACAGAGAAGCCCAGACATAGATGCATACATAGATGGGTCCTTATCTTGTGACAAAGGAATGGTATTTCCCCAAAATGGTAGTAGAATATATACAGTGGTTGAGATGTCACTGGGGACATCTCAAATTCCTTATATTCCTGGGTTCAGGTCCCAGTTCTGTTCCCTATTCCTGCTTCCAGCAAACATGCACCCAAGGAGGCAATAGGTGATGTCTGAAGTGGCTGGATACCTGCCAACCATATGGTGGACCTGAAATAAACCCCTGCTTCCAACCCCAGCCCGCCCTAATCATTGAAGGTGGACAGTGAGCCAGCAGATGGGAGCTCCACCTGTCTCTTTCAAATAAAAAATAAGCTAGTAGATAGGAAAGGTTTCCTATACATAATATCTAGCCTGAGACCTGAAATTACAGGAAAGAGCTCAACAGAGTCAGCAAAATAGCTGAAACAGGAAACAACCACTCTGGCAGTGTAATGGGAGCAGGTCCGGATTTGCCAGAGGAGCAAAGCAGTCAGACTGAAATGCAGCGAGCAAGCAAAAGAGTGCCTGAGATGTGCAGCAGGCAGGAAATTAGCAAGCAGACACTATGACCACATCATCATACAGGCATACAATTATCACAAGACATGACCAAGTCATCATAGCAGCTTTTATGTTTTCAATTACATTTTTAAAAAACCTAAAGGTTAGTCATCATCTAATATTTTGAGAAAATTACATCAAATAGCCATATCTGACCAGCTGACTTCAGTCACTGCCCTTGATAAATGTTCACACCTCTTAGTTCTTGTATCTATAAATGCACAAATAATACCCATCTTATAATAAAATGTTTATGAAAGGCCTGGACAGTCCCAGTCAAATAGGTACCCAATAAATATTACTTCCTGCTTCCACTTCCATATTAACCAAGCTTATCGGCAGGCTAATCTTTTGAAGACATAATGGCAGACTTCACATCACACTTTAATGATTTCCAAAAGCTGGTAACTTAACTGGTACCAGCCTGGCCCATTTCACAGCTACCTTCTTAATCTTGTAGCTGTCTGATAACCAAGGAATAGAAAAAAGACAATAACAGGTAACACAGAAACAGGATGACCAACAACTGAAAAAACTTTAGTATGTGCCCCTTCAAAGTCCAAACCAAAGGCAACTCTCCATAAAATATCTATCCCTTTATGCAGGACTAAACACACCAGTCCTTAAAGTGAAACAGAGAAGTTGCTATGATATACTGGGACACCTCAACTGTACCAGTACAAATCCCAGCTGCTCCACTCTGATTCAGTTCTGTGCTAATGCACCTGGAAAAGTAGCAGAGGACAGCCCAAGTGCTGGGGCCACTACACCCATGTGAGAGACTCAGAAGAAGCTCCTGGCTCCTGGCTTCAGACTGGCCCAGCTCCAACAGCTAGAAACATTTGGGGAGCAAATAGCAAGATGAAAAATCTCTTTCTCCTTTTCCCTGTAGCTCTGCCTTTCATATACACATACAAATCTTTAAAAAATAAAAATATGTATGTTCTATTAACGTCACAGAGTTCATTATAGGTAGCTGGATCTATCTACTACCTTGAGTGGGAAAAAAGGTACACTTCCTTCAACAACAATAAAACTAAACTAAAACTTGTTCGATCTTACTTACATGCCCCAATCAGAATAACTGGTACTAAGGACAGTGGACTGAAAACTGACATCAACCCTCATAACAATAAAACGTCTCCAAAACACCTGACCAAATTTGCATTTTCGAACTAGTGCCATGTGTCTCCCACAAATTTTACTTATTTTCCTTCCTTAGAATGTGACCTTGTCCAGATCACTGTAGATGAAATGTCTGCTTTTTGAGATGAATCATCAGAGAGGCAGAAGTCAATCCAGCACTAACAACTCTGTGTCTCTGACTTGGGAACACTGATGCAGACCATGGGGAAAACAAAGAGATAAGCTTACTCTTTTGATATGAATAATCTTCAGAAGGAAAGAAAAGTGGCCTAAATATTTATAACTTCTTTAAAAAAGTTCCCAAAAGGCCCTGTGTGAATAATTCAAGTCAATAGTTAACATCAAGAGCCAAAACAACCAGCCTTTCTGACTTAGTGACTTTTAAATTAGCAGTCATAGTTAACCTCCAAGTACAAATGCACATGCTGAGCTTTAAAAAAATTCACTAAAAAAAGCCTTCTGAATTATAAAACATTTTCCTGCTTAGTCTGTCCTCCATTTGGCCAACTTGATGCTGCTTTCCAAGTCCTGCAGGGCAAAAATGGCTGCCTTTTGTTTATTTCTGCCTGTACATTTACAGCAGCACTCAGAACAATGTTGAAAAGAAATGTGCTTGGCTCTGGAAACCCACAGAATCCTTGGACAGCCTAGCCAGCCATTACACACTCCATTCATAGTTTTCTCAGAGACTTATTAGCTCCTCCCCTGGCTTCTGCCAAGGTTCAAAAGTCAACAGAAAAAAATTGTAAAGTGTTATGATGTCCACAAAAAAGAATAACATTACAGATTAAAATTGCTAATTTTTTAAATGAGAATTTACAGATAAATCTAATCCTGTTCTGAATACTACCCGGATATATCTATCCTAGAATTCCAATTTATCCTCAGAAGCATTTTTCATCTCTAAACCATGTTTCAAAAACAACTATTCAATACACACAGCCATTCATAAGCATGTAAAATTTTATTACTGTTTAGAAGAATCAAGACTACCTCAGAGGGAACAACACAGTAGCCTGGCAGCTAAAGTCCTTGCCTTGCACATGCCAGGATCCCATACAGGCACTAGTTCTAATCCCAGCAGCCCCACTTCCCTTCCAGTTCCCTGCTTGTGGCCTGGGAAAGCAGGAGAGGATGGCCCAAAACCTTGGGACCCTGCACCTGCATGTGAGACCTGGAAGAGGCTCCTGGCTCCCGGCTTTAGATTAGCTCAGCTCTAGCCGTAGCGGCTACTTGGGGAATGAATCAACAAAGAAAAGATCTTCCAGTCTCTTCCTTTCTGTATATCTTACTTTCCAATAAAAATAAATAAATAAGTATTAAAAAAAAAAAAACAG